TCAGCGGGTCAGCGGACACGGTAGATTTCTCTATAACCCAAAAGCCATTTCGCGAACAAATCGTCCCCAGAGCTAAGGCGCTCTTTGGCGCGGTCACTGGGGACGAAAAAGGTCGCCTATCGGCGCGGTGTGTTTCTATTTATCAAATATGCTCCTGATGGGGTATGGTTTTCAACTCTAGTCTTGAACTGGGTGTGTTTTTAGAAGAAGCTACTTTTTCATCATTATCGATAAGTCCATTAACAGAGGCCCTTCAAAAATTATGTTTAGGGCAACAGTGTCAGCTGCAACGGTCATAAATAGGGTCTTGAATTTTTGGTCTGGTCATAAATAGGGTTGGAAAGTCGCAGATTTTTGTCATAAATAGGGTAAGGGTTTTGGAAAGCGGGCCGCACAGCCCCACCAAATTTTTCTGGGAGTACCCCCCGGGTGCAAAGCAGCCGTTACAATTGACATATACCCTGGCTGTCGCCATTTTATGATGAGGTAGATCGATATTCAATGTTGGCAAGGATTTTCGCGTTCGAGTTTTTTCTACATTTCCGTTTGAGTTGTCTGTGAAGCTGCTAGAGAAATTCATCACATGCCGGCAGCACAGTTTAATCTTCTCTGGAGTCAGCTTATGCATGCTGGAGGGTAGTAAGTCCTGTTAAGGACTTCGCCTGGTTGTGGAGCAGTCTAGTAAAAGCGTGGCACTGTTTTCCATCCAAAGTACAAAGATGTCCTGTTGCCTAGCGTATGTAATCTGAATGTAGTTTAGCTGAACCTTTTTTGTTTTTGGCTGCTATTTCCTTGACTATGGCGGTGGCCATAGAAAGCTCTAGAAAGCTAGAAAGCTCTTGCTACTTTGGCCACCGCTCACATACAAATTTTATTTCCTTACAGCTCTATATTTCTTAATTTCTTACTACTTTCCGGCATTTACTTTAATGCCCAGTAAAGTGTAAATAAAAGAATTGAATAGAATTGCCCTTACCGGCCGACCAAGGTTTTCGGTAAGTCAGTTGTACATCGTGCGCATAATGCTGGGAAATTAAAATCCAGGACAAAAGTAGTTGGGACAGTTGAGCTGGATCACGTATTTCCCATCCCCCCTAATCAATGTTGGAAAACGTCGCGTTTTTTTTTTTCACAAAAAGGGAAAAAATCTCCTGATTATCAACATTTTAAGTGGGGGAGGGGAGAACTTGCTTCGTGTCCCAACTTTTTTGTCTGGGATTGTAGGTCGGAGTGGCTGTCAATTCCTACTCAGAAATGATGCAATACATTATAATGTGCCGTACTAAAGGAAACTTCATTTTCTATTCAAAAATAGTTTCTCAGAATTAACAAGATAGTGGCTAATGATCTTGCCTTTTTAGACTGTTTATTCCCTTCGTGTCTAGTTTTGAGCCGATGAATTAACAAAAAGTCCAATCTGACTCCCGCACTTCTTAAGGTTTATCATAGTTTATCATTTTGAAGTATTCCGCTCTGAGTTCGTTATTCCGGCTTGTAAGAACAACGTCGTGATGGTGTATATTCGGCCAGTTCTTCGTTCGATTCCTTCAACACAGTCAAGAATCTACCAGTTTCTTCCATTTCTAACGCAAAGCTGTCCGCGCACTCGTCTCCATCAGAAGAATTCACCATTGCTCGGCACTCTGCCACTTCATTTAGGACAATAAACAGTAGCTTTACATTGCGTTCATGCACCTTCGTGAAAAATCTCACTCTCCTCTTCAAAGCCTTTTTGTCTTTGCTTAGTGTTTCGTTCGATGCCTTCACAGCTTCAACGTCTGCATTTTCGACTTCGTTTTGCTTCGGTTCGATGGCATCGAGGAACTTTCTTTCGTTTTCGATGATCGCGTCCAGCATTTCATGAAAAGAGTTAAACTTTCGAAGGAGTTCATAGAAGTTTTGTCGACTCTCTGCGTTGCAGATACCGCGTATGAACCTCAGCTTCCACAGGATAACTTCGTTGTGCAGTTGTGTTTGAATTTGTTCCATTTTTGTTAACAGCTCCTTGGAAGTCTTTATCAAACTCGTGCATGTTACGGCGGTACAGCATCTGGAGCCGTTCCTCAATACGTCCTGGCGGGCACATAGAGAAAGAATTCATGTTATAAGACAACGCCTTACTCACATACCCGGTTTCCGGAGTCATTGTGTTTTATTCTTGACATGACCCTTTACTCTTACAGTGCCTCTCTATCGCCATAAGTTTTAATGGATTGCAGAGTACTAGGGTAACTCGTCGATGGACTTTCATTCCATCTAAAGGGAGTGGCAATATTTCTAACTCCGCCCAGTGAGTCATGTAATAAAAACCAGGACTAAAAGCCGGAGCGTATGAGCCAGTAGGCTTAAAACACTTTTCTAAACCTGCTCAGTTGTTAACAATAAGATAGTAAGCCTATCCACTGATAACTTTTCTAATTTTAGTTACAATTTACAAAGCAGCTCTTGCTTCAGTCCAGTCACTGGAAGTGGGACGAGGGAAAACCCTGGAAACTAAGTCACTGTTTCATCTCTCGCGTTTTACCTTCATGAAACTACCGCATTAGTTCTTTAAACTAAACCTGACTAATTAGGTTGCAGACTTTAAAATTTTTCAAGGGTGTTCTAAATTAATGTTACACTGGCTTCAATTTCATTTTGCATTATCTACATGAACAAAGGCAATTCCATGATATTGTTGTCACTAATCAAAGTCTAGCACCTTTTTTCTCTACCGATCGAGTGCCATAGCGCCATGAAAGCAAGATCATTACTCTCTTCAAGCTTTGCAGTATGAATATTCACATTATTATGTTTGTGGACGGTCATCTAAGTTTGCAAGCGATATCAGAAGAGGCAGCAGGAACTTTTAAACTAGCTTCCAATCACATAATTCTGCTTATAGAGCCAGTGTTTCTTTAATATGAGTTTCGAGTATCGAGTTCTATGTCAAGCGGACGAAATCTTCTTCAAAAAGGTGATTTCTTTATTTTTGTCACCTGATTGATCAATTCAAATTTCTGTTGATCAATAAAAGATTGTAGTTTCAAAACACCGTCGGCCCGTGAATCAGCTTCAAGCATCCTTAACTTTTGTTGCGATGTAATGTATAAAATTTAGCGACTCTGTTTATTCCGCGAGCGTTCAATTCGACGGTGACTGTCACTGAGCAGAGATGAACGACTAGCCGGATGAAAAGAAAATCACGTATAGTCCCGACTTGTTGTGGTTGCGGCATCACGAGCCATTTTTAAATTCACTATGGCAGGTGTTTAACATTTTTCAAATAACTGAATTAAGTTACTCCATATTAAGTCAAAATCCAAACGACGATAGACCTGACATTTCACTCCAGTTTACCTGTATTGTCATTCAAAATAAGAGTGTAAGATAACCGCTTTAAATGTTTGCGAATAGGTTCCTGTATTTCTCTGCTCATCACTGTTTTTCTCTGGCGATAGTTCGACCCTATTTCAATTCTTGCTTCTACGCCGATTTGAATGTTTAATCCTCGTGTGCCAATAAAGCCACCGGCTTTGATTGGCAGTGTTTGAGGGTTAATAACAAAATTATCTACTTTTAGACGTCATAACGATAATTTGGCATGAATAATTTAAGGCATAAAAAAATCAACGATGAGGACTGATGCCCAAAACAAATGAGGCTCGTATTGAAGACTAAATAAGATGACGGATAGAAATTTAACTTTACGTTCTGAGCGATTGTAAATTTTACTCAATCCAAAGTTAACGAAGTATTTTTAAAAGAAAATGTTACCAAATATAACTACTGAGGTAAAACTTGAATTGAATCGCAATTTGTAATATGAAAACTATCACTCCGAAGGTTATTTTTATTTTCGTCTTGATCAGTGTAGTCTTGTTTTAGAATGAGACCATTTTTTCGCCAACAGGGAAAACGAAAGCAAGGTCTTAATCTATTACAAATCATTGCTTAGAATAATGTCAGGAAAAATTCACTTAAAACATTTCTAGAGTGGAAAGAGCTACCCAAAGTCAATTGGAATATTTTTGTCCTACAAACGAAACCTTGCTGAGTAAACTCTGGTATTATGGCTTCAGGTTTTGGTTCTTGCTGTTTTTAATTTTCAGCTCCCAAGGTCATTCGAAATCATAATACTGTCTCTATGGAACTAAGTGCGACTGCCGCATATTTAACCATGCTAAAGCTCAAGCGACTCCTAACACAAATATAATTACCGTTGGTATTGAATCTGTCGCATTCTGTTGTTCCCTCTCCGTTTGTTTCTTCTTTGTAAATGGAATCCTGTGCAGAACTCTCCAACAAAACGAAATAACTATTCCCATGATGAAACTGACACGGCGGGTCCGTAAGCACACTTGTCAGCTCTAACGAGAACGTACTTATATTACATTTATAGACTTCGTCGCGAACACTGGCCAGCGAGTCGGCGCAGAGGATTATGAAGTATGAACCATTAAGTTAATAGCTTTGCGCAATTTACAGACAGCGACAACTGCATGCAATCCATTTACCAAGCAATTTACTTTAACAAAATTAAAAACATATATCTAATTACTCCAGATTTTATAAGCTGCTAACCTTGTTTAACCCTCTCTCTAAGTTATTTGAGAAAAAAAATGAAAGCTTCGTGATGCCTTCGACTTCAAGTTTTGCGCTATCTTTAGGATCAAATTGCTTTTAATAACAACCAATCAAATTGAAGCTAGGGCAGGTGGGTAAAACCAAGAGCGCTTTCCGGTGAGAATCTTACGCCAAATGGAGCAGTACAAATTTTCAACAAACAAATTAAAACGGGACGAGTGTACCATTTGACATCACTTGAAAAGGACTGTGCCATTTAATTCCCTACCGAAACCACTGTATATTCCATTAAGGAGCTTGTGGGTGTGAAAAACCAAATGATACAAATGGAAAACAAGTCAAGTTTGAGAGTTAGCGCAAGTCTCAGTGCGGTAATTAACTCAAGCGGTCTTCTTTGAGATAACAATTTCTCCACCATTTTTTAAATCCCTTTGCGCGCCAACTTAATTGTACTAAAGCACTATCTCCCCCAGTTCCCGAGCGCTTGAGTCGGGTGCAAAATTAACAGATAGTGTGGATAGTACTAGATAGTTTCTGATGAAAGAAAAACCAAACGAAAATGTAAAACAAAAACTTGGGTTCGTTACCAAAGACCACAAAATACGCCGTAAATATTAACTTCATACTTCGGTTTGGATTATCGTTTTTTGTTTTGTTTTTTATTCACTGCGCAATATCCCATTTGTTCGATCTTCTCGCTTACATTTTTCTCTATTTTTAGGTCCATGTACCTTCATGTCATGCTCCAACACACGGATGACCAAATTCGCACATTTTATTTCAAACTTGGTCTGGACATGTTTCATCCATGTAACTGACTTATAAGACTTCTAGTAAATAAGACAGCAGCGAGGCTGGTGTTCAGAGACGCGCTGCGCTGCCTAGCTGAGAACCAAAAAAAAAAACGAGAGGCTGTGAATAAAAGAACACTTTTGTCCTAAATAATTCAGTGGTCTCTTCCGTCCTTCCGAGCTCAAAATATAAATTAATTTCCTTTGCGGATTGGCAGTTTATTTGCTGTGAGTATGTTATGAGAATTGGCAATGTACTGAATTATGAATGTTTTTCGTTATTCTCAATACCTGTTTAACCTACGAAGTAATTGTAGTGGACGGAGGAATTTACAAATTGATTGGTGTTGGGTTATTTAAGTCGCGCAGTTGTTTTGTTTGTCTACATTGTCTCCACTGCCTTGCGTCTAAGTAAACAGAAAGCAAATTAACTGTGTTATTTTTCTGCTAAAAAGGAACGACTGCATGCTAATAAATCGGCTGGTTGCCAGAAAGCCACACCTTAGTTCATCATACCGCTGACACGGACTCGCCCCTCTCGATAAACTTCTAAAAGAATAAATAACAAAGCAATCCTGTATTGCCTATGTGGTGTCATGGGCCTGATACTACAGGGCGTATTTACCTTGCAGTCAATACCGCACGTCTTTGACACAATGACTTAACATCACCAGGCTGCGTTGGTGCGTCTATACAGTTTCCAAACCTGACAGCAAACAGTTATCAACTATAACAACGGGAAAATAAGCGCTCGACCTGAATAGGGAAGAACTATTGCAAAACAGTAACACTCCGCCGCCGAGCAACGCAAGACCTGCACATTGTGAAGTTTTAAGAACTGACGATTATCGAGGTATAGATCCAACCAACTACACTGACATCCCCAGGTAAGCAAAGCCTGCTTTAAAAAATTTACCACAAGCTTCCTTTCAATTTGTAAAACTTGCGCAAAGATTTCTTGGGCATCTGAAGCGACATCGCGCAGATTAAATCTTGTATTTAATGGCTTTTGTAATAGTTTAAAATTATTATTTTTGCAAAAGTCCACCTAGCTACATTTTTTGGTTCTAATATTTTCATACCGTCAAACCCTCCAGCAGTCCTTGTTATGCTTGTGGCATGTAGAAAAAGTTCTTACACTGCTTGAAAATTCAGCGACACCTCTCCAGGAGATATGTAACTGCTGCGACCTGCAGATTTTAATGTTTTCTGGAACTCGCTAAGGGCTTAGAACAACTACAGCTACTAAAGCTTGGCTTTTCCCCCCAAGTACCCTAAATTAGCTTAACATGCAGCCATTTTGTAAGAAACTAATCTGAAAATACGCCCCAGCGTTAATTCCAAAGCAGGTGTCAGTTTTGCGAGTTTGGCCAGTCTGCAGACATGCAAGCTATGCAGACCAATTCTCGTGCAGAATAATCAGCGAAATTCTCAAATCATAATATAGTTGTAAAAGTTACCCTTGAATTATTGTTCTAAAAATTCTAATAACTCTGCATTTTAAAGTTTTAGGAAATAATTTGAAGCAAAACACTTCTGAAACCAAGCCCAAGGCAGTTGCCATGGGAACCACAATGAGCTCGGTGGGCTTGGCCAATAAGCCACCTGCGCTGCCACCAGTAAAACAAAACAACAATACGGTTAGTGGTTGGTTTGCTCTCAAAATATTGTTCATTTTACCAACTAAAGCTCACATACATGACCTTCTTATTGTCATTTCAATTTGTTTTCGCAATATTATGGCTTGACAGTCTTCCTACGCAACCCTTAAAAAAGTTTCTTCGCAATCGGCCTTATATTCACCTGGCGAGTTTTATCAAGATTACCATCAACATAAGAATCGTTATGTTATCTTCTCGAGTGTCAAGAGTTCGTAGCAGATCTGTCTGTTTGCCAATGCTATTTTCATTCCAAGGTCTAGTTGAAAGTTGAGCATTTAGAACACCAGTTTACAGAAGTTGTCGCTAATTTAGTTGCGGTCTGTTAATTCAAATTGAATTTTCGAACTCAAACCAAAATCGGAAATAAATACGGCTTGTCTCACATTCAGAAACATAATATCTAGAATTAGTATGGGTAATCGTATGAATGCGAGAGCAATTAAGGATTTATAAAGTATGACTGATATTGGGTAATTTTCTCAAAATTGCTAGAGCCTTAAGGGATGATTTTCACTAGCGTACATTAAGCATAAGCAACACACGCCGTAAGGTGCTGTTAAGTAGCGCCTTTTGTTAGGAAATTTCCCTAACGAAAGGCGCTAATTATCAGCGTCTTATTGCGTCTGCGTATGTCGGCTTATGCTTATGCGCTAGGGAAAAACCAGCCTTAAGAGCCTTGTTCCGTTTAACTTCAAGACATTCAATATTAAAATGCTGCAAACCTTTCGCGTTAGAGCTTATTCCATAAGATTCAAATTCTCCAGAATACGTTTAGTGGAATATCTCGCCACTTAATCAAAGCAAGCCGTTCAGAACTCATGTAACGGGGTATAAAATGTATAAAATGTCTCCATGGTTCCAAACCTAGAGTAACTTTGAAGACCCCATCGTGAAGGTGTATGTGTTCTTTTTGTTTGTTACTTAACGTGTGTCTTGAAGTTGTGTGTTGCAGCCATTTTCGTGTTCATTCTGTGACTGACTAACTGACCAATGACAAGACAAGGAGAAGGCAGCTTCCTTCAATGTTGTGTGGACAGGTGTTTCAAGTGTGTCGTAACCTTATTGTCTGTGTTTTGAGATTGTTGTTGTGAATGTGATATAACTGTTACACTGGTAAGTTTTTCTTGGCGTCTTGGCAAATTCACGAGTTAAAGTAAATTGTGTTCTCTACATCCACTAAGTCGCTAGTTTCCATCATACAACGCGTTCTGAATTACTAGGTGCAGATTAATTAAACGAGGCCGTCAGTCTTTGTTAGACCTGATGCAATGCTGAGTTGTGGATCTTAGTATAGGCCTACAATACAGTTTTATCACACTTTTTCACTCAAGTCTTATGAGGTCCCTTCTCTAAACCACTTTTAGTGAAGTTGGCTTCCCCGATAGAAACTTACCATAGTTAATTACACTGGTGTGCATCAGCTCACTTAATACTGCATTTAGGCAACGCGTGGTCATTTCTTAATTAACTCTGTCAATCGAAATAGTGTTCCTAACAGGCCTTCTAAGCCTTTTTCTACTGACAAACCTTCTTAAGGTTATCGCCACTAGCTGTATTCCGTGCATATCATGACACGCTCCTAGCCAATGTAGGTTTTACTTTCGTTTTAGGGAGTCTGGACGCGATACCTTTAGAGAGACCTTCCCAACATTGCCGTTAATTTACCTGATTACCCTTGCAAGAACAATCTAAATATTGTAATTTTTTTTATATGTACTATAGATAATACCCACTGCACAATCTCCTCCGGACTACAAGTTTGAACACTTCACCAAGCTCTGCCAGCATTATCAAGAACAGAAGAAAATCTTACAGGTACAAGAAACTAATTTCTCTCTAGCTCGTCAATTAATAGCTGAGCAGATTAAAACAGAGCATCCGTCCCTACATTCCCGATCCGCACATTATGTTCCTTGAAGCAGCTTGGTTTGTTTCGCCAAACTTAGAATTTCTGTGAGTGCCGTGAACGTTCTTCCCAAGTAAAAAGAAGAGAGAGTGGAAGTGTGAACATTTTTCTCATGGATATGTACATGCATCAGTAGTGCAAGTACATTTTCTTCGAAATACGTTTGCGTCCCTGGCTCTTTATATATTAATTTGTACTTCCAACACTCTAAGATGAGAGAATCTGGTTAATTAGTGAAACCTATCACATAGTGTATAGTTTAGGGGAAAAAGGCATTATGTGACTTGAGTTCAATACCGAGTTATTAGCCTCATCTAGAATTCGCAACTGGCCAATCCCAGTGACTCCACAGCTCAGTGATGGAGGCTTAAAAAATTCAGTTCCGCCCAGGAAAAGGTTTGCAATGCTGACTTTTCCAGCTAAGGATATTTTGCAAATTTCGCAGGTACAAGTTCGGACCGAAGTACATAACTGGCAAAAGCTGGCAAAGAACGGTGATGAAGGAACAGAATGTCGTGAGAAGATTCTGGGCTTACTGAGCAAGTTTCGAGAGGCACAGAGACAGCAAGACTTGTTAATAGAGAAAGAGAAGCTGAGGCTTGACGCATTCAGAAACTGTATCAACGAGGACACGACAAACAGAATAAAAAAAAGATTAACTTTCTTCCAAAAACTGAACAAACAGCATGAAGCGCTGTTAGAACACGTGCGGCAGGACATTCAAGATTGCAGAATGATTTGTAAGAAGTTTAACGATTCAAGTGGAAAGTAAGTCCTTTGGCTCTTTTAGGTTTCTCCCATAATCTTCTGGAGTATGGAACGCTTTCTAAATATTGTCGTAAACTGGCATTGCCTGAGAAACGTAGTCACATGCCCAACTACCGTCGTTCTGATTGGTTAAAACATGTGTTGTACATGTGTTTAGCAGACGCAAGATCAATGCAAACAATTATTTTGGGTACTCCCATCTGTTGAAAAAATGCTTATCTAACTTCATTGCGGCTAGGCTCGATTTCAACCACTTTCTCAAGTCTGGTCCACGTTCCACCCCGAGAGTGTCTTCAGGTTAGAAGCGCGGGCTCCCGAATAGCGGCTGGCTGGTAATCGAGCCTACATTGCGGCTAGAATATAGAAAATTAAAATAAAATCAAAACAAAGGCGCCCACAACATTTACGCGTACGCTTATCATGTTTGAGCATGGTATAGTTGCCCATATACTATGATGTCTAAGCCGGTGAAAACTCTTGAATTGCATTATCCAATCTAATGTTTATATCGACTTACATAGTCCTCTTTTCGAAGATCGAAAGGATTCGAGACTTGGATAAAGTGTCCTGCGAGCCCAGCCTATGACTACGGAAGCATTGGAAGCTTATGAGGTGAACTTTTCAATATTTGTTTGTCCTGTTTATTTTTAAACAAGTAGTTCGGCTGAGTTAAAGAGGGTGTGTGGTTGTCACATGTCCTATTTGACAAAAACCGATTAAAGGTGTGGCGTTTTTTTTTCTCGAATTCAAAGTCAGCGGCGTCATTAGTCAGACGAAAGACCCAGTCACTAGAGTGACAGTAGGCTCACAGATGCCTACAGCGATCCTAGCAGTACAAGACCCCGGTCAAAGTGTGTACCACTCAACAATTACAAGAATGATAACTAAATATGTTCACGTTATTAAGAGAAGGATCCAAAGGTCGGAGAGTAACTCCCAGTCTCTACATGCATGCTTACTCTTGCCGTTAGTAATCAACCACACGGGTATAAACCGTAGTTTTCTTTCCTCTTGTTCCTATAGGATACAAAGAAAAGTCATATTCCTCTTGACTTTGGATTCTAGTGTAAGCTAGCTGGAAGAGTCGGGATACAGGTCATAGAGCGCAGGTGACAAATCTGTAGTACACAAGAACACGGATAAAGGGTAACCTCCAAATCAATCGAAGTAAAACGTCACAGGATAATGAAGAGAATCTCGACTGTTGTAATTTGAGTGTAGGTAATTGGCGTTCTCCATAACGGAACTTGCTTGACCTCGTGTGGTCTGGTACACCACAGACAATCGAAGGGCCGCTCAGAGGAAAGGATTTCGAACAAAATTTGAATAAAACAATCTCATCTCACTGTTAAGTTGCAGTTTGTATGGTGTAATCGTCTGTGTGAGGGTAGTTCTTTAAAGAACTGTTGTGAGTGACTGACGTTTCGACAACCTNTCAGTGGTCTCTTCCGTCCTTCCGAGCTCAAAATATAAATTAATTTCCTTTGCGGATTGGCAGTTTATTTGCTGTGAGTATGTTATGAGAATTGGCAATGTACTGAATTATGAATGTTTTTCGTTATTCTCAATACCTGTTTAACCTACGAAGTAATTGTAGTGGACGGAGGAATTTACAAATTGATTGGTGTTGGGTTATTTAAGTCGCGCAGTTGTTTTGTTTGTCTACATTGTCTCCACTGCCTTGCGTCTAAGTAAACAGAAAACAAATTAACTGTGTTATTTTTCTGCTAAAAAGGAACGACTGCATGCTAATAAATCGGCTGGTTGCCAGAAAGCCACACCTTAGTTCATCATACCGCTGACACGGACTCGCCCCTCTCGATAAACTTCTAAAAGAATAAATAACAAAGCAATCCTGTATTGCCTATGTGGTGTCATGGGCCTGATACTACAGGGCGTATTTACCTTGCAGTCAATACCGCACGTCTTTGACACAATGACTTAACATCACCAGGCTGCGTTGGTGCGTCTATACAGTTTCCAAACCTGACAGCAAACAGTTATCAACTATAACAACGGGAAAATAAGCGCTCGACCTGAATAGGGAAGAACTATTGCAAAACAGTAACACTCCGCCGCCGAGCAACGCAAGACCTGCACATTGTGAAGTTTTAAGAACTGACGATTATCGAGGTATAGATCCAACCAACTACACTGACATCCCCAGGTAAGCAAAGCCTGCTTTAAAAAATTTACCACAAGCTTCCTTTCAATTTGTAAAACTTGCGCAAAGATTTCTTGGGCATCTGAAGCGACATCGCGCAGATTAAATCTTGTATTTAATGGCTTTTGTAATAGTTTAAAATTATTATTTTTGCAAAAGTCCACCTAGCTACATTTTTTGGTTCTAATATTTTCATACCGTCAAACCCTCCAGCAGTCCTTGTTATGCTTGTGGCATGTAGAAAAAGTTCTTACACTGCTTGAAAATTCAGCGACACCTCTCCAGGAGATATGTAACTGCTGCGACCTGCAGATTTTAATGTTTTCTGGAACTCGCTAAGGGCTTAGAACAACTACAGCTACTAAAGCTTGGCTTTTCCCCCCAAGTACCCTAAATTAGCTTAACATGCAGCCATTTTGTAAGAAACTAATCTGAAAATACGCCCCAGCGTTAATTCCAAAGCAGGTGTCAGTTTTGCGAGTTTGGCCAGTCTGCAGACATGCAAGCTATGCAGACCAATTCTCGTGCAGAATAATCAGCGAAATTCTCAAATCATAATATAGTTGTAAAAGTTACCCTTGAATTATTGTTCTAAAAATTCTAATAACTCTGCATTTTAAAGTTTTAGGAAATAATTTGAAGCAAAACACTTCTGAAACCAAGCCCAAGGCAGTTGCCATGGGAACCACAATGAGCTCGGTGGGCTTGGCCAATAAGCCACCTGCGCTGCCACCAGTAAAACAAAACAACAATACGGTTAGTGGTTGGTTTGCTCTCAAAATATTGTTCATTTTACCAACTAAAGCTCACATACATGACCTTCTTATTGTCATTTCAATTTGTTTTCGCAATATTATGGCTTGACAGTCTTCCTACGCAACCCTTAAAAAAGTTTCTTCGCAATCGGCCTTATATTCACCTGGCGAGTTTTATCAAGATTACCATCAACATAAGAATCGTTATGTTATCTTCTCGAGTGTCAAGAGTTCGTAGCAGATCTGTCTGTTTGCCAATGCTATTTTCATTCCAAGGTCTAGTTGAAAGTTGAGCATTTAGAACACCAGTTTACAGAAGTTGTCGCTAATTTAGTTGCGGTCTGTTAATTCAAATTGAATTTTCGAACTCAAACCAAAATCGGAAATAAATACGGCTTGTCTCACATTCAGAAACATAATATCTAGAATTAGTATGGGTAATCGTATGAATGCGAGAGCAATTAAGGATTTATAAAGTATGACTGATATTGGGTAATTTTCTCAAAATTGCTAGAGCCTTAAGGGATGATTTTCACTAGCGTACATTAAGCATAAGCAACACACGCCGTAAGGTGCTGTTAAGTAGCGCCTTTTGTTAGGAAATTTCCCTAACGAAAGGCGCTAATTATCAGCGTCTTATTGCGTCTGCGTATGTCGGCTTATGCTTATGCGCTAGGGAAAAACCAGCCTTAAGAGCCTTGTTCCGTTTAACTTCAAGACATTCAATATTAAAATGCTGCAAACCTTTCGCGTTAGAGCTTATTCCATAAGATTCAAATTCTCCAGAATACGTTTAGTGGAATATCTCGCCACTTAATCAAAGCAAGCCGTTCAGAACTCATGTAACGGGGTATAAAATGTATAAAATGTCTCCATGGTTCCAAACCTAGAGTAACTTTGAAGACCCCATCGTGAAGGTGTATGTGTTCTTTTTGTTTGTTACTTAACGTGTGTCTTGAAGTTGTGTGTTGCAGCCATTTTCGTGTTCATTCTGTGACTGACTAACTGACCAATGACAAGACAAGGAGAAGGCAGCTTCCTTCAATGTTGTGTGGACAGGTGTTTCAAGTGTGTCGTAACCTTATTGTCTGTGTTTTGAGATTGTTGTTGTGAATGTGATATAACTGTTACACTGGTAAGTTTTTCTTGGCGTCTTGGCAAATTCACGAGTTAAAGTAAATTGTGTTCTCTACATCCACTAAGTCGCTAGTTTCCATCATACAACGCGTTCTGAATTACTAGGTGCAGATTAATTAAACGAGGCCGTCAGTCTTTGTTAGACCTGATGCAATGCTGAGTTGTGGATCTTAGTATAGGCCTACAATACAGTTTTATCACACTTTTTCACTCAAGTCTTATGAGGTCCCTTCTCTAAACCACTTTTAGTGAAGTTGGCTTCCCCGATAGAAACTTACCATAGTTAATTACACTGGTGTGCATCAGCTCACTTAATACTGCATTTAGGCAACGCGTGGTCATTTCTTAATTAACTCTGTCAATCGAAATAGTGTTCCTAACAGGCCTTCTAAGCCTTTTTCTACTGACAAACCTTCTTAAGGTTATCGCCACTAGCTGTATTCCGTGCATATCATGACACGCTCCTAGCCAATGTAGGTTTTACTTTCGTTTTAGGGAGTCTGGACGCGATACCTTTAGAGAGACCTTCCCAACATTGCCGTTAATTTACCTGATTACCCTTGCAAGAACACTCTAAATATTGTAATTTTTTTTATATGTACTATAGCTAATACCCACTGCACAATCTCCTCCGGACTACAAGTTTGAACACTTCACCAAGCTCTGCCAGCATTATCAAGAACAGAAGAAAATCTTACAGGTACAAGAAACTAATTTCTCTCTAGCTCGTCAATTAATAGCTGAGCAGATTAAAACAGAGCATCCGTCCCTACATTCCCGATCCGCACATTATGTTCCTTGAAGCAGCTTGGTTTGTTTCGCCAAACTTAGAATTTCTGTGAGTGCCGTGAACGTTCTTCCCAAGTAAAAAGAAGAGAGAGTGGAAGTGTGAACATTTTTCTCATGGATATGTACATGCATCAGTAGTGCAAGTACATTTTCTTCGAAATACGTTTGCGTCCCTGGCTCTTTATATATTAATTTGTACTTCCAACACTCTAAGATGAGAGAATCTGGTTAATTAGTGAAACCTATCACATAGTGTATAGTTTAGGGGAAAAAGGCATTATGTGACTTGAGTTCAATACCGAGTTATTAGCCTCATCTAGAATTCGCAACTGGCCAATCCCAGTGACTCCACAGCTCAGTGATGGAGGCTTAAAAAATTCAGTTCCGCCCAGGAAAAGGTTTGCAATGCTGACTTTTCCAGCTAAGGATATTTTGCAAATTTCGCAGGTACAAGTTCGGACCGAAGTACATAACTGGCAAAAGCTGGCAAAGAACGGTGATGAAGGAACAGAATGTCGTGAGAAGATTCTGGGCTTACTGAGCAAGTTTCGAGAGGCACAGAGACAGCAAGACTTGTTAATAGAGAAAGAGAAGCTGAGGCTTGACGCATTCAGAAACTGTATCAACGAGGACACGACAAACAGAATAAAAAAAAGATTAACTTTCTTCCAAAAACTGAACAAACAGCATGAAGCGCTGTTAGAACACGTGCGGCAGGACATTCAAGATTGCAGAATGATTTGTAAGAAGTTTAATGATTCAAGTGGAAAGTAAGTTCTTTTGGGTCTTTCTGGTTTGTCCCATAATCTTCTGGAGTATGGAACACTTTCTAAATATTGTCGTAAACTGGCATTGCCTGAGAAACGTAGTCACGTGCACTACTACCGTCGTTCTGATTGGTTAAAACATGTGTTGTACACGTGTTCAGCGGACGCAAGATCAATGCAAACAATTATTTTGGGTACTCTGTTGAAAAAAATGCTTATCTAATTTCATTGCGGCTAGGCTCGATTTCCACCACTCTCTCAAGTCTGGTCCACTTTCCTCCCCGAGAGTGTCTTCAGGTTAGGAGCGCGGGCTCCCGAATAGCGACTGGCTGGTAATCGAGCCTACATTGCGGCTAGAATACAGAAAATTAAAATAAAATCAAAACAAAGGCGCCCACAAAATTTACGCGTACGCTTATGATGTTTGTGGAGCATGGTATAGTTGTCCATATACTATGATGTCTAAGCCGGTGAAAACTCTTGAATTGCATTATCCAATCTAATGTGTATATCGACTTACATAGTCCTCTTTTCGAAGATCGAAAGGATTCGAGACTTGGATAAAGTGTCCTGCGAGCCCAGCCTATGACTACGGAAGCATTGGAAGCTTATGAGGTGAACTTTTCAATATTTGTTTGTCCTGTTTATTTTTAAACAAGTAGTTCGGCTGAGTTAAAGAGGGTGTGTGGTTGTCACATGTCCTATTTGACAAAAACCGATTAAAGGTGTGGCGTTTTTTTTTCTCGAATTCAAAGTCAGCGGCGTCATTAGTCAGACGAAAGACCCAGTCACTAGAGTGACAGTAGGCTCACAGATGCCTACAGCGATCCTAGCAGTACAAGACCCCGGTCAAAGTGTGTACCACTCAACAATTACAAGAATGATAACTAAATATGTTCACGTTATTAAGAGAAGGATCCAAAGGTCGGAGAGTAACTCCCAGTCTCTACATGCATGCTTACTCTTGCCGTTAGTAATCAACCACACGGGTATAAACCGTAGTTTTCTTTCCTCTTGTTCCTATAGGATACAAAGAAAAGTCATATTCCTCTTGACTTTGGATTCTAGTGTAAGCTAGCTGGAAGAGTCGGGATACAGGTCATAGAGCGCAGGTGACAAATCTGTAGTACACAAGAACACGGATAAAGGGTAACCTCCAAATCAATCGAAGTAAAACGTCACAGGATAATGAAGAGAATCTCGACTGTTGTAATTTGAGTGTAGGTAATTGGCGTTCTCCATAACGGAACTTGCTTGACCTCGTGTGGTCTGGTACACCACAGACAATCGAAGGGCCGCTCAGAGGAAAGGATTTCGAACAAAATTTGAATAAAACAATCTCATCTCACTGTTAAGTTGCAGTTTGTATGGTGTAATCGTCTGTGTGAGGGTAGTTCTTTAAAGAACTGTTGTGAGTGACTGACGTTTCGACAACCTAAGCGGAAGTCATCTTCAGAGTCAAGTGAATGTGTTTGTCAGTCGATGGTGTTGTAAGTCTGGTCCGTTGAAACTGATTGCTCTGTTACGGTGTACTGCTTCTTCTTTATCATCATCGATCGTCCTCAGCGTCATCATCATCATCATCATCACCATCATCATCATCATCATCACTGCATATTAGTTCTTCTTTAGGCGAAGCATAGCTGGAGCAGTTAAACATCAAAGATAACTTTGCACTCTATTTGCCACCATTTAAAACATGTAGCTGAGTAAAGCTAAGGGAATTGTGATCCGGAAAAGTTCATTCAAGACATAGCACATTACTGTACTTTGAGTTTAATTTATAAAAAAAAAAAACAAATATTGTAAGCATTACAATGCTGCTCCTGTGTAGGGTACCTTTCAGACTCTCAATGACGTGGTTACGATGCAGACATCTCACTGCTTCCTATTTGATAGTAGCCAATCGCTTCTTTACATGCCACGAGGGCTCGTTATATATTTATCGAACAAAATTATTCAAAACATCTTGCCTAGTACTTAGACTTCTTAATTAGCCAGATGGTAAACTGAAATTCGCTTCCGGTCACGTGAAATTATAGAGAATAATTCACGGTAAAGGCCTCGAAAATGCTGCCTGTGCGTTGAAAAAGCAACGCACCTCAAAACAAGCCTACCTTTGACAAACGGGTTAAATTAAGATGGCATCTGACTGCATGCATTGTTCATATGTTAAAATGTTAATATAGCATTTTAAAGATACAAAATGTAAAATAATTTTTAGCTAATAGAAAGTCGAATGTACCCCTGTGCACCCAACAGTCATTTTCCTCATCCGTCCAGGGTTTATCGCGGTCTCTTTTTCTTTGGATATACAATCAAATACATTCTACAGCACTACAAAGGAGATCGGATTGCACCACACGTTAATCTTTGTTCTTATCTTTATCTTTTTTCTTCGGTCTGATTCTTCGTTGAATCCAGCGCATGTAATTTTTCAGTTGTGTGTACACACCGTACTTTCCTTGAGTTGCACAACCCTCTCCCCAGCTCGATAAACCAACCACAGCCCAGCTGTCATCTGCAGAACGTCTGACCTGCAGAAACAGAAAGACGTTTATGAATACGATTACAAAAATTGACTAACAACGAGAGACGAAGGTTTGCTTCAACTCTCATGGCCGGACAATCACCAAACCCAAACAAAGGATCTGAGAGAAGCGCAAACTCTCGTCGAGTTGTTAAATTTTGAGCAGGGTTCAAATTTGAGAGAGTTTCACAGATCTCACCTTAAAGGCTAAGTAGCGCGAAATTTCTTAAGGCAAAACTAGACCTTCTGACCAGTGTCTTAACGTATAATGGAGAAACGTGAACGGTGGACGAAAATACGACAGAACGTTTTTTCCTAAATACCTTTTCAAAGTTCCCTTCATGGGCTTTAATTAAACTTAACTTTACACCTGCTTGCAGTTAAACGTACCACGAGAGGTGAACCACTGTCTCCTTTGCAGGCATCCTTCTCTCCACTAGAGTTTCCCGCGCAGACGACTTTTTCGTTGATTGCGGCAGCATTGGTGGCATTTTCCCGGCAATCCTTGTGAGATGCGAACTTGATTTGAATCTGCTGAAGCACGGCGTTTGGAGGCCCTGCCAGATCATCCGGAGAAACCTGAATGAAGGAATCATGAAAAACGTAACAGCTATAAAAGAGGTAATCCCTCGCCTAGACTTTATTCCCAAGGTAATCCTCTCGAGTTATTTTAAGACATGGCACCCCGTTCGTCTGCGTATAGAACTTTACCACACGTCTTTGGATGGTTTCATGGAGGATGAAGTCAGGCGTGTAACGCCGCTGCTGTTCATGTGAGCAACGTCCGTGTCACATGCAGGATCAAACTTTAAATATATTTTATAGCTCTATTTTTTAGGAGAAGAGATACAGGCAAAGTAAACGTGCACCAGAATCCAACGTCCTGCTACCTTCTTCTAGCCATCCGCGGGTTCTAAGACTAGAAAAAAATAAACAAGCCGGTACATCTTATCCTGTAGTGTAGACGGACGTAAAAAAACTCTCGATAAAATGCTATTCCGATCTATAAAGGCGAAGTCGGCTACAATAAAAACCCGCGTGTAAGAACCTGGTGGTTTAAGGACCTCTCGGCAGAAATTAAATTTGCCATAGGTTCCTACACACGGGTTTTGACCGTATCTGTGACGTAGGCTAAAACAACCTAAGGTGTATGTAGGATTACGCATTATCGTTTAGCTTTATCTATTTGGAGGGTGTTTCCACGTTGCTCGGCGTGTCTTCGATTTTATACAGACCTAGACATGCTTCTAATATATTAGTTTTCGTTATGCTACACTTACCCGTCTAGAAGACCCCCACCCTGCTATAACACATGACTTGCCCGGTCTAACGTAGAACACATCCGTTGGTTGAGGTAGACACACTGTTCTGACAAAAGGTGAGAACTTCACCCCATGCTTCAAGCGAATCAGGGCCAGGTCATCCCCTAGACTTGCCAAGCTTGCATTTGGATGAAAGATGAGCTTGTTGGCTCGTATATTCTGCTCTCTTCCCTCTTCTACGAATCGTTCGTGCTCACCTAGCAAAGCATAAGTGCCGAAAGCCGTTTAAAAAAAAAACTAATGTACAGTTTTGGAGGATGACTGAGACGTTAAACGGACTTTCGGTTTCTTAGACAAGCCAAGCATTTCGTGCGTTATTGAACTTGCTTTATAGGCACAAAGTATCGCTGTAAGTCCATTCTCATGTTTTAAGAAAGCCATGCACCGAGCATTGTTCAATCTAGGTTGGAATCTTACTGTATAAAGACAAACCTGGATGTTTGTGGTTTAAGCATCTATGAATGACAAGGTTAACGTTGTCCGGTCTAAGTTTGCCTGTAATGAGCACTTAAACGGATTCATTGGAGGCGCACCCTAATCTTACAGTGAGAGACCCCTAAGTCGAGTGTTAAATGTATTGGAATTGTTCTATTCTTACCCATTACAACCATCACGTCTCTTGGCTCCACCTTTCCATCGTAAAAAAAGCAATGAGCCACAGTTAGTACCCAGTTCTCTTTAATGAGCACACCGCCACACCGGAAGTTGCTTTTTACGTAGACAGCAGCTTGCCAAGGCCAGGCTCCTGGTTTAGCTTCACGGCCGCCTACGATTCGGAAGTTCTGTCTGTCTCCATTTCTCATCTGAGTGTCTCCAGCTATACCACATTCACTGTAATCTGAACATAAAGGAAACCAAAGGATTAAGGAGTATCATTCAAATCAGTAATATAGATATTCTCTGGCTATAAGTTATAATAGTTATATTTTGCTTTTGTCTTTACAACAACAAACAACAACAAACTTAATTAACATGGTCTACGCCCTTGTAGTAGAAACTCGTCTTGGTCTATTGCAAATCCACTTATTTGAGTGGTTCATTCATCGTTGACTGGTTTTAATACGCTGATACAACACGATCGCGTTCGCTTGCCTTGGAACGGAAAACGATTTTGTAGATCTGGCTGAAAAATACCAAAGCCTTTAGCTTTTAACTAACAACTTGTCTCTACGAAAACAATTGTACTACTCGCCCTCATTGTTTTAAGCGATAGTCAACTCGACTACACCTCATACCAAACACCGGTTCCGCAGTCTAGTAGTTAAATTCATGATATCATACGAAAATCCAAACTTATGTGCAACGAAGAGGGAAACGATTTTCAATAACATCACAAACTGACTTAATACGAGTTCATGAGTACGAAAAAACAAAGCACCAGACAATAAACATCCAGTCAAAGTGACTGCTTTCTAGCTCACCAATTCCTTTGGCAGTTATCAGTTCTTTAAGCTTGGTCAGATCTTCAAAGTTTTTAAGAAGGAAGACATGTGTCCTGAAGGGTTCGGAAGCAATGCTTCGCAGCTCCTGTTCATCCACACTGTCTGTCACGCCAATAGTATAGATCTCGAAATCACAGCTGTCACGCAATATCATGGCATCAGAGGCGGGGTCACCGCCGATATTGGATCTGCCGTCTGTGATTAGGAACAGCGCTTTCTTGCTGCGCTCGCGGGTCTCAGGCACAATTTCTTCAATGGTCTTATTCAGTGCAAGACGTGTAGCGGTTCCTCCGGCAATAAAGTTCAAGTTTTCTAAATCATTAAGAAAGACAAAGTTAGGTTTGACACCTTCAGAATGGAGCGAAGTGACCTGTAGGTTATTCATTTTCTCTTTCTGTTGTTATAGTTCGGTAATTCAGTGCACGGGACACGCCCAACTCAGTTTAGTGGGGCACCATGATGGCGTCAATACAGAGGAAGAATTCGCAACTTTACACAGAAAATTCCCCCATCAGCACATCAGCAGGCTAAAACTCGCCCTCATTAGGGAAGGGAATTGAAAATATTTTTTCTTAAGTTCAGTCGTGTGTAGTTAAAATCAAGCAAGTCGCTGCGTGCAAATGAAATACACCAACTGTAGCTTAAT